GCGTCCTGGGTGCATCCCATGTGCATCCTGCGTGTGTCCTGGGTGCATCGCTGCGTGTCCCATGTGCACCCCGTGTGCATCCTGTGTGTGTCCTGGGTGCACCCTCTGTGCATCCCATGTGCACCCTGGGTGCACCCTGGGTGCATCCCGTGGGCGTCACTGCGCATCCTGTGTGCACCCCGTGTGCATCCCGCGTGCGTCCTGGGTGCATCGTTGCGTGTCCTGTGTGCGCCCCGGGTGCATCCCGGATGCATCACTGCACGTCCCGGGTGCACCCTGTGTGCATCCCGCGTGTATCCTGTGTGCACCCTGGGTGCATCCCATGTGCATCCCGTGGGCGTCACTGCGCATCCTGTGTGCGCCCCGTGTGCATTGCTGCATGTCCTGGGTGCACCCCGTGTGCATCCCGCGTGCGTCCTGGGTGCATCGTTGCGTGTCCTGTGTGCGCCCCGGGTGCATCCCGGATGCATCACTGCACGTCCCGGGTGCACCCTGTGTGCATCCCGCGTGTATCCTGTGTGCACCCTGGGTGCATCCCATGTGCATCCCGTGGGCGTCACTGCGCATCCTGTGTGCACCCCGTGTGCATCCCGCGTGCGTCCTGGGTGCATCGTTGCGTGTCCTGTGTGCGCCCCGGGTGCATCCCGGATGCATCACTGCACGTCCCGGGTGCACCCTGTGTGCATCCCGCGTGTATCCTGTGTGCACCCTGGGTGCATCCCATGTGCATCCCGTGGGCGTCACTGCGCATCCTGTGTGCGCCCCGTGTGCATTGCTGCATGTCCTGGGTGCACCCCGTGTGCATCCCGCGTGCGTCCTGGGTGCATCGTTGCGTGTCCTGTGTGCGCCCCGGGTGCATCCCGGATGCATCACTGCACGTCCCGGGTGCACCCTGTGTGCATCCCGCGTGTATCCTGTGTGCACCCTGGGTGCATCCCATGTGCATCCCGTGGGCGTCACTGCGCATCCTGTGTGCACCCCGTGTGCATCCCGCGTGCGTCCTGGGTGCATCGTTGCGTGTCCTGTGTGCGCCCCGGGTGCATCCCGGATGCATCACTGCACGTCCCGGGTGCACCCTGTGTGCATCCCGCGTGTATCCTGTGTGCACCCTGGGTGCATCCCATGTGCATCCCGTGGGCGTCACTGCGCATCCTGTGTGCGCCCCGTGTGCATTGCTGCATGTCCTGGGTGCACCCCGTGTGCATCCCGCGTGCGTCCTGGGTGCATCGTTGCGTGTCCTGTGTGCGCCCCGGGTGCATCCCGGATGCATCACTGCACGTCCCGGGTGCACCCTGTGTGCATCCCGCGTGTATCCTGTGTGCACCCTGGGTGCATCCCATGTGCATCCCGTGGGCGTCACTGCGCATCCTGTGTGCACCCCGTGTGCATCCCGCGTGCGTCCTGGGTGCATCGTTGCGTGTCCTGTGTGCGCCCCGGGTGCATCCCGGATGCATCACTGCACGTCCCGGGTGCACCCTGTGTGCATCCCGCGTGTATCCTGTGTGCACCCTGGGTGCATCCCATGTGCATCCCGTGGGCGTCACTGCGCATCCTGTGTGCGCCCCGTGTGCATTGCTGCATGTCCTGGGTGCACCCCGTGTGCATCCCGCGTGCGTCCTGGGTGCATCGTTGCGTGTCCTGTGTGCGCCCCGGGTGCATCCCGGATGCATCACTGCACGTCCCGGGTGCACCCTGTGTGCATCCCGCGTGTATCCTGTGTGCACCCTGGGTGCATCCCATGTGCATCCCGTGGGCGTCACTGCGCATCCTGTGTGCACCCCGTGTGCATCCCGCGTGCGTCCTGGGTGCATCGTTGCGTGTCCTGTGTGCGCCCCGGGTGCATCCCGGATGCATCACTGCACGTCCCGGGTGCACCCTGTGTGCATCCCGCGTGTATCCTGTGTGCACCCTGGGTGCATCCCATGTGCATCCCGTGGGCGTCACTGCGCATCCTGTGTGCGCCCCGTGTGCATTGCTGCATGTCCTGGGTGCACCCCGTGTGCATCCCGCGTGCGTCCTGGGTGCATCGTTGCGTGTCCTGTGTGCGCCCCGGGTGCATCCCGGATGCATCACTGCACGTCCCGGGTGCACCTGTGAGGACATGGGGGGACGTGACGTGGGGGGACATGGGACATGGCATGGGGGGACGCGAAGGAACACGGAGGGACACGGGGACATGGAGGGACACGGAGGAACATGGAAGGACATGGGTGGACATGGAGGGACATGGAAGGACATGGGGGACATGGACCTGGGGATATGGAGGGACATGGAGGGACACAGAGGAACATGGAAGGACTTGGGGGGAACATGAGGAACATGACGTGGGGGGACATGGAGGGACATGAGGGACAGGACATGGGTGGACATGGAGGGACATGGAAGGACATGGGGGACATGGACCTGGGGATATGGAGGGACATGGAGGGACACAGAGGAACATGGAAGGACTTGGGGGGAACATGA